GATACTAAAAGCAAATTAAGGAAATACTACGATTCCGTGAGGTTTGTGACCGTTAAATCATCATATAACCGTTGGGAATAGTTGATCTAACAGTTACAAATCTCGACGGAATGATTCCCTAACAAGACCGTACCATCTCCCGCAAATCTATATATATATATATAAAAAAAGGTTTGATTATTTTTTAAATAGTAACTATTTCTTGCCAAATAAATGTTGTTTACTAATTCTGTGAACTATTTAAACATTTTATGATATGTTTTAAATATACAATTTAAGTAATTGCGGCTAATTTATTAAGGTAATAAATCACATAAAAATGTCATTTGTATCTCAAGATATTCGTATCATATATTTGTATCATGTGTTTGTAACTAAAATATGGAGATCTATCACATCCCTAACAAACGTTAGATTTACTTATATATTTTAATATTAATCACATCAATAAATAATATTAATATACATTAAATATTTATCATTATATGAAACAAGAATATTATTTTTATAAATGTTATAAATAATATTGACATTATACGACAATAAATTTTTGAACAAAATAATATTTGAGTATTATAATGAACCAAAATATATAAATTTATTATTTTTTTGTATTAAAAAATTAAATATATATGTTAAAATGTTATTTATGTTAATATAAACGGATTAATGGGATAACACATTGTTAAAATAAAATTGTGCAAAAATATTTTAAGTTACCAAATTCCCGTTCATCGCACGGGATTCTCGCTAATTAATATGACACGAAAACAAGTAATTATATTTGAGTTGATTTTATTTTTGGAAATGTTGAGGTAAAAAGGAAAAAGCTCATGCACAATACAGCTTGCGCATAATGTTGGATACTTTTATTTATTTATTTATTTACTTATTTATTTATTTTTGCAAAATCCACTTATTACTAACTAGTATGTGACTCGTGCGATGCACGAAGAACAATATTATGATTGTATTATTATAAATAAAATATATAAATAACGTTAATCGTGATTTATCTATTGTTTTCAAAACTGGATTGGACCGAACAGTCCGACTGTATGGACTGGATTCGGTTTATCGACCAGTTCGGTTCGATTGAATAAAATATTTGCAATAGAATCAATGAACACCAGTCGATCATACTGGTAGTATCGTTATGATTTTTTAAACAAATTTTTTATTACATTTAAAACTATTTTTAAAATAAATAAAAATATATATTTAAAAATGAATATTTATAAAATATTTATCATTTAGTTTAAACATTGAATAATTTTAAATTGTTCATATATTTAATTAATATTTTTAATAAATTTATTTAAAATATACTATATATATTTAAATATTAATAATTTAAATTCTGATACAATTAATAAATCATTGAATAAATAACTTGATCGGTTTAAAATTGTCCTCTCCTGAGAACTTTGGATTTACCGTACATTAATAAAAATGGAGTGCAATACCATTGCGTTCACATAAATATTAATAAAATAATATATAAGTGTTCATAAATCCTTGAACATGTTAAAAGTATTCTTAATATATAATTTTTTTGGAGTATGAACTACATTACATTTATTTTAATAAAGTATTTTTAATATTAAGATATTTAGTTCAATAATCGATTTGGTCAAACTGACACATAATTAGTCACTCAGAAATCATGATCAGCCTCGGTTGTGTCATTGACCATAACCCAGTCACGTGGGATTAACATCAATTGTGTCATGTATTTGGACTAATTTAAATATCAACTAACAGTGAGCACCTAATTCAATCACCCGATTGATCAAATGAAATTTTCTTATTTTTCTTAAATATATGTAACTTTATGAAATAAAAAATATTTTCTGACTCATGTAGTAAATGTTTATAACAAACGATAATATATTAAGATTATAAATTATATATCTAAATATAAGTTACTTATTTCTTACTTTATGCATATTTATAAAAAAATAAACATCTTTAAATTTTAAATTAATCGATTGATTTTGCGATTGTCACGGTAACATAATACCAATATGAGTTACTATATAACGAAGATATTTTGCATATCGGTTATTATGTTTTTAAACATAATAATTTTTTCGCTTATATAATATATATAGGTGCTATAATAAATAAATTAATTGTGAAAATTAGCATGTATCAGCGCACTGGGACACAGTGGCTATGAATAATTTATAATAGTACATCATATAAATACTCTCACCTACTAAAATACCGAGTATGTCATTCTAACATAATAAGAATTTGATAAATCAAATAAATAAGTAATGTATATGTATGGTCGTTTATATTATCTTACAACAGTACGAATCAATTACTGAAGGTCTAGATTATAATCAATTAATGAAGATTTAGATTATAACCGCGATCAGTAAATTAATTCTTAAAATAAATTTATTTTCCACCATTAATTCATTTTTTGATGAGAAATGATTAACACAAACTTTTTACATCATGATGATTTTATATGTAAATAAAGTACTGCCAATATTCAATTTATGTTTTTAATGTATATAACTAATTTCGTAGTTTGAGATTTATTGTTAAAACATAATACCAAAAATTGTTGTCGTCCATTTTTAAATATATTTTCTTTTTTAAACAACAAATTATCGATACATAATTGTTTTTAAATAATATGATTACATAAATTGTTAAAGAAAGTTGACAATATTTTGGCCTACAATATACGTGTACTATAAAAAGCCAAAGAAGCAGGACAATTTAAGCATACAATTTTGAAAACTAAATTTCATGCAAAATGATAAAAAAAATAATTTTAAATTTTATTCAAAAAAATTCCTCAATAAGTACGTCAAGCTATTCAAACAAAAAGTTATTGACATTATACGACAATAAATTTTTGAATAAAATAATATTTGGGTATTACGATGAACCAAAATATATAAAATTATTATTTTTGTGTATTAAAAAATTAAATATGTAAAATATTATTTATGTTAATATAAATGGATCAACGGGCTAAAACATTATTAAAATAAAATTTTGTAAAAATATTTTAAGTTACGAAATCCCCATGCATCGCACAGGATTATCGCTAATTAATATGACACGAAAACAAGTAATTATATTTGAGTTGATTTTATTTTTGGAAATGTTGAGGTAAAAAGGAAAAAGCTCATGCACAATAGAGCTTGCGCATAATGTTGGGTATTTTTATTTATTTATTTATTTATTTGTTTGTTTTTGCAAAATCCACTTATTACTAATTTAGTTAATCCTGCAAAATGGTTAAATAAATCAAGATTCTATAACTGGATATAATATATGATATGATGGAATGATTCGCCACATATATTAACTGGATTGTGCTGCTTTTATATTTATTTACTTCTATTATATGCTAAAACATCTAAGTTACGTGATTAACAACTTCTTACTTACAATATACCATATTAGGTAAACATTATCTGTTCAATTAGGTAAAGATACATGTTACAGTATATTGTTTTTACCTAATAAACATATATCTTTATCTAATTGCACAGATCATGTTTATCTGTAACATGTATCTTTACCTAATTGGATTGGTAAGCATCATCCGTGCTTGTAACATAAAATGAGAATCACCTTTCTTACATGTATTCTTATACTTAACTAGTGCGGTACCCGTGCGATGCACGGGCCGGTTGTATTAAGATAAACATTTAGATTTGGATGATTGGATGAACGTAAAACGCCTAATAAAATAAAAATAACTTATGTATTATTAAGCACATCCTTGTACATAATATTATTTGTTTGATTTTGGTACATCCACAAATTATATTAGGATTATAGATTTGCATAAATAAATGGGTTAATTGCTAAATAAACCTTAACCTTTTTGTGTTTGACAATTATATCCCAATCTTTAGGTATTTGCAATATAATTTCGACCTCAATTTACTTATTGCAAGTCAAACTTAATACCGGTTGGAACTTCAAAAAATTGGTCGATTTGAAGGCGGTTCGAACAGATCGGAGCTCATATTTACCGATTCACTCCGTATCTAGGAGGAGACTCATCACCGGTAGCTTACATTGACGTAGAATTTTTGGCTTTGTGCGTGGATGTACATTAAATACGTGGAAATTGTCAACTTGCTACGTGAATGACATAAAAACTCGTGTCCATGGACGACTTGGACAAAAAAATCAATCCACAAATCCCTAAAATCAATCACTCTGCACCCAAATTTGCAACAAGTAAATTGAGGTCGAGATTATATTGCAATTACCCAAAGATTGAGATAAAATTGCCAAACGCAAAAAGGTTAAGGTTTATTTAGCAAT